AAGGAACTACGTGCTCTGGGTTTACGTGCAACACGGTGCCTTTTCCAGCATTAACATGTCCAAGGTCAGGGGTACACTGGAAAAAAAAAACACATTGAATCTAGAGCCGGCGCAAAATGCGCACTGGCGCCTACAAACCTAACAGGGATACTTCACGCATTGCGCAAAACGCGCACTGGCGCCTACAAACCTAACAGGGATACTTCACGCATTGCGCAAAACGCGCACTGGCGCCTACGAACCTAACAGGGATACTTCACGCATTGCGCAATGCATGAAGTGCGCGTTTCGCTCTGCGCTGGTCGGCCGCCCGCCGCGCCGCAGCGTGCCATGGCGCACACTAGGAAAAAAAAAACACATTGGATCTGGAGTCCAGACTCTTGAAAACATTGACAAGAAAAAATACTCTTGATTCAATCGGATTTTTGCTTGAATCAAAACGAAATCCGCTTAAATTAAGAGGCTTGGTTCTTGATTTAAGCTTGATTCTAATTGAAATAAGAGTACTTTTTCTTGTCGATGTTTTTAAGAGTCTGGACTCTAGATCCAATGTGTTTTTTTTTCCAGTGTACCCACTTTTTTCGGTTCATTTTTTGATGGTACGAGGTTCGGCGCGGTTTCGGAACTGAGGTCCAAGGAATTTTTCAGATTTTTTCAAACCTTAAATTGCAAAGTCGACAGTAGAAACATCATTCTGAAAATGCCAAAAATGAGACTCATTTGAAACGACATTTTCGACAGGCGCTGATGTCGAGTTTGCTGACTTTTGTTAAATGCTGCTCGCAAAATTTCCTGAATTTCCCGGACTTTTCCAGGTTGTCGTCAATTCCCCGACTTTCCCCGACTTTCCTCGACTTACAAGGTTTCTCAGACTGCCAAAAACCCTGCTTTGATCGTCCGTCATCACAGTGGCGTGGCGTGCTTTGCTATATATCGGTTGATCTGCCATTTTAACCTACGGAAAAGGATCGACAAACAGGGTATTCGCAATGAACGCTTCAATAATCGATTCTTTATTACAGCTTCAAATGGAGAAAAATCGAAAATCGATCACTCATACCTCGCCACTGGTCATCATGAAAGAAATCTGAAAAACATCGAGGCAGGCTGCCTCACCGTATCGATATTTTTTATGGGTTTAAATGGAGCAAGAGTAGTTTTGCCAACTAGAAAGCCTCGCCACTGCGTGTCCCCTGTCCCAGCGTCGGATCATCTTTTGGTGGTCGATACTTCCGAGCGAGTTGAAATTATCACATTCGCAGGCCGAGACATTTTCTATTTGAAACTCCGCACAATTGGACCACATTTTGCAATAAAAAACCACTATTTCTGGTTCATTTAAGAAACATTATAAATGCCATTGGTTTCCGTATGCAGAAAGGTGCTTTTATTGAAGAGCCAGAAATAGTGGTCCCTTATTGCAGAATGTAGTCCAATTATCCCTCGGAGGGTCTTAAAATTTGGCAACACCGTTATCCTTCCGTTTGAATACATGCAAAACTATCGATTCCCGGTGGGACACCTTGCCTCACCTCAAATCGATATTTTTAATGGATTTACATGGAGCAAAAGCAGGGTTGCGACCCGGGGACACGTGCGATTGACCGGTCGCCTCGGCTGTCACCGAGCACTCAATTGCCGGCTCTCTTTATCTAATCTCAAGGTTAGGGCCGGCCAAGTGGGTATCCATCGATTGTCGAATAGTCATCGAACGATACCAATCGATAGATCCCTATCTGAGCGATGCAATATATCGATCAAGGGCATTCGATACCGATTCGAGAATCGAGCCGCAGGATCAAAAACTCTAATCTCAAGGTTTGGGCTGGCCAAGTGGGTATCCATCGATTGTCGAATAGTTATCGAACGATACTGATCGATAGATCCCTATCTAGACGATGCAATATATCGATCGAGGTCATTCGATTTCGATTCGAGAATCGAGCTGGAGGATCAAAAACCTGGCGGGCCTCCGGGGGAAATAAAAACGAAACGACTCAGCGGGAACAGTATCGATTGACTCCCGCTGCGTTTCAGCGCGTTTCTTTCTTGTCGCGGCCGCAGCGCCAGGTTCGTTGACCCGCCGCTGGCCGCGCTGCGCTCCCCGTCCTCCGGGTTCCGGGTTCGAGTCCCGCGGGTCCCCCTGAATAATTGAATCGCCGAGCGCGAAAATGCCCGACCCCGCCCGTGCCCAGGTGTCACTGTGGACTATCGATATCGTCCCGTTTAAAACTGCGGTGGAGGATCGATTGTTTAGGTGTTCGTTGCGAACGCCCTGATAATCGATCCTTTTCCATGGATTTAGATGACGGGTCAATCGATCTATGGCAAAGAGGGACACGCCTTTCGACTTGTGTGGATTGGCGCTTCCGAGAATTTACAGTTTCTGGCTCAGTTTAAAAACAATGTATATAGTCTATAGAACCATTAGTTTCCCTGCAGTGGCGGATCCAGGGGGAGGAGGCCGTGGCTGCATCCCCCCCCCAGCCAGAAAAAAGTGGGGGAGAGAAGGAAGAAAGGAGGAAAGGGGGAAAAAGAAGAGAAGAAAAAGTGTCCTTAAAAATTTACTGAAATGGTGTCAAGACAGAACTACAGCTAAGTTGAAGCTTATCAAAATGAGCCCCAGATCAGTTGAGTGACTTTAACGAGGATCAAGTGAACTGCATTTTACAATTTGAAGCTATAAATTCTAACTCATCTGAGAGGAAAACCACTCATTTGCGTAAGGAAACTTATGGCACATACATTGTTTTTAACCCGGGCCGAAATTTATAGTTCTTAATTGCAAAATGTAGTCCAAGTATTCTGCATTTTTCTTGCCCATATTTCGTCGCTTCCTGAACGAAGGAACGAAGCTCAACTCCATTCCAAGGTTGCAAAATTGACTCGAACAATTCAATTTTTTACAAGGATGTACCTGTGCAATTTTCGTCCAAAATTTTTCTGATTTTTGCATGAGATCTGAGGAGAAATCAGTGAAACTTTCAGTTAGAAATGCCCAAGATTCTCCCACTTACTATGCAATTTGCGAGATGAAATTTGGCAACATTGAAATGGAATTACGTTCCTTCGTGAGGGAAACGATGATTTTCCCCTCTCCTCTTTGACTACCAAAAACCGAGCCGTGAAACTTCCTTCGAATTTTTCCTGGAATACAAAAATCGTAGCACACAATTTCACGTCAGAATGTTGCTGGTTTTCTGCTCTGAAGAAAATAAAATGAGAAATTAGGCAACGCTTAATCCGGTTGAAGCTGTCTGCGTATAACTCCGACGCAAAGGCGTACCTAGATTTCCACGTGAGACCTGTTCTGCGTATAAATCCATGCTTTCTGGGACTCATGTGAAAATCGAGATGCGTCCTTACGTCACAGGAGCGAAGAACTCAGGAGCGCTTTTCAAATTTAGCTATCGCCTCGACTTGGAATGAAAATCCATCTTGAGGCTGCTTTTACGGGCGTAAGCCGATTTCACACTCCGCGCTTGGGAGCTGAAAATAGGGTAATCGATGACCCTGGTGACACTACTAAAAACCTCCGAGAGAGACCGGAAGTCGGGGTGTCTACCAGTTATGAAAATCCAAAATCGGGGACTTTTAGGGGAGTTGTTTCAATAAAATCGGGGACTTTCTTTCCCGAAATAGTAAGAGAATTGGAGCTAGTTAGAGCGTTAAAAGGCGTATTTCATGTAACTAGTTTTACAAGTCATGTTGAACCGATGAAAACATGCGAAAAACCAAGCAACACTTCAGTTTTTTTTATTCCTGGTTATACCGCGCCGCCGCGGCTGGCGGGAAAATTTGAAAATGCCGGTGTTTAGGACAATTTTTGTCATTTTCTGGGGACTGAACAAGAAAATTGGGGACCTTCGGGGATATTGGGGACACCTTTCCAGATTCGGGGATAATCGGGGACATTGAGGACTTTTTGGGACCGGTAGACACCCTGGAAGTGCATTTTCCAGACCCCGTTTCGATCCCAGAGGGCTGAGGGTTGAAATTGATAGACAAAGCGACATACAATGGAGACAAAGGGCAAATGGAGCGATCCTACTGGTTGAAACGGGTAATTCTTATTGCCTAAGGGGACATGATGGACCGACTATGGGGTACCTCGTAACTTGACGTTAGTTAGTCTACTACCTCCTTAATCCATTGCAACCACCCGCTTCTACCAACAGAGTCGCTCCATTTTTCCTTTGTCTATAGCTTTGTCTATCAATTTCAATGATCAGCACGCAAAAAACTCGAATGCTATGATTACGAAGCGGGATCAACTCTTTACTAGGCGTGAACTCCGCTCTTTTATAAATCAGGTTTCCTGCGGGTCGATTATTGATTTTTTGTCGAACGACACTCATCGATAAATATGATGGCTAAGATGTGGCCTCATTGATGAAGGCCGTTCGATAGTGACTCGACAAAAACTGATTACTGCAAAACGAGGGCTTGCTCAATTTGCCATGACTTGAAATGGATTAAAGCAACATGATTTCACGGTGGACAGGATACAAATCATCGAACGCCTAGGCCGAGAAATTGCCTATCTTCCTATTTTGAAGGCGCACAAGTGGACTCGTTGGGCCACTTTCCGTGACGATTTTTAAAGCTGGCAACACTGTTTCTCCTCCATTTATATCCACTAAAAATATCGATTTTAGATAAAGTCGCTCACCCAGAATCGATTGTTTTCCATAAAAGTAAACGGGGGGAAATAAAAACATCGTATGACCATTCGAATGTTGCCTTTCCTCTCAGAAAATATTTATAATTGAGGAAAGTTAATAATATTTTTCCTTGGAATTTTCAGACTTTTTGGATCTAATTACGAACGAAATCCTCTGAAAAATCGGAAGAGAAATATTCACAAATTTTCCTGGAAATCCGAGGTTTATTCGAGGAAATTTGGCAACGCCTGAAAGCTTATACGGCGTGCTTCCTCAGCCCTGCAGGATAAGAGAACGTAAATGATTCAAAGTAAAATATAAGTTAATGGTACTCACCTCCCTTTCACTGTTGGCAAATGATATGCCTAGTATGGGCATTGAACGTAAAATAGCGACTAAAGATTGGATTGTATTACTATATACTACGGGTCGGTACTGTTTGAAATCCTCGGGCGTGAACCCACTCTCGTGGATAATTCTGCAAACAAAAAAGAAAAAAACAACATTAGAGAAGGGATAAACCACAGGCTCAATTAACATGTAACAGGGGAAACTTGTTTGAGGATCCTCAAAAGAATTATCATTCTGCAAGATGGAGGTTTGATGAATATTGACACAGAATTGGATCAAAATTTACAAGAATACCTTGAAGGAACTATTAATTGTTAAGTTAAAAACAAAAGAAACAGCTTGGAATGAGATGAAAACGGAGGTACACACCGTACATTTTAGTTATTATACGCAATATAGTTTTTAGCAAAAATACACTCCTGCTAAAAATAACGGCGGATTCGAGATTCTCAGGAGGGTCTGATTGCAACATTTTCGACGAAAATGAACTTGTAAGGAGGCATGCCGAAAGTTTGATGATCTGTCAAAGTTACGGAGGCTCCGAACACTTAGCGGCTCAAGTTTAATCATTATGTGACTTCAACAATCTGCACGCTTGATAGGTCATATTGGATTTTCGGCAATGCTGCCATTTATTTTACCGAAGATTTCGGGGCTCCCTTTATTAATTCAATTTTCCCAAAGTTCCGAGAAAATTTTTGGAGGTGAATTCCGGAATACGCCCGGATTTAGTTCCAAAGATCGTTAAATTGGATAACAAAAAATCATCGAAATTGATCGAATAATTGATTCATCTGCAGAAAAATCCTGGAATTCCAAGAAAATTCCGAAAATAGCTGAACATTCCGGGAAAAGCTTCGATTATATGAACTGCCTAGTGACTTCATTTGACACTTCTGCTGGAGTCCTCCCCCACCAACTGAGCTCCGACCTCCAATACGTCACGTAATTTACCCGGTTTTAAATTTTCCATTTTTCCCGGGTTGAATTTGGGGGTTGACTTTTTAGGGTTGGGCAAAATACCCTGACTTGTCGTTTTCAATGACTTTATACGAACTAGTTACCCGTGTAAGTAACACAACTCACACCTTTTCTGCGGTCCTCCCCCACCTTCCACACCCCCACCCTACCAACACGTTTCGTAATTTACTCGGTTATACATTTTCCGTTTTTCCCGGGTTGATTTTGGGGGTTGACTTTACGGGGTTACGCAAAATTCCCAGGCTTCTCCAGGCTTTCAATGACTTTTTAAGAACTTGGCACCCGTCTGGAAGTAACTCAACACTCACTTCTGCTGGAGTCCTCCCCCACCTTCTGAGCTTCCACCCCCAATACGTCACGTAACTTACCCGGTTTTAAGTTTTCCGTTTTTCCCGGGTTGATTTTGGGGGTTGACTTTTTAGGGTTACGCAAAATTCCCAGACTTCTCCAGGCTTTCAATGACTTTTTAAGAACATGACACCCGTCTGGAAGTAACTCAACACTCACTTCTGCTGGAGTCCTTCCCCACCTTCTGCGTTTTCACCCCCAATACGTCACGTAACTTACCCGGTTTTAAATTTTCCGTTTTTCCCGGGTTGATTTCGGGGGTTGACTTTTAAGGGTTACGCAAAATTCCAAGGCTTTCAATGACTTTTTAAGAACATGACACCCGTCTGGAAGTAACTCAACACTCCCTTATGCTGCGGTCCTCCCTCACCTTCCGACCCTCCACCCCGAATTCACGCTGTCATAAATTGTCCATTTTTCCGGGGATCCGGCAACAGGGGGCGTTGACGCGGGAGCCGCGGGGGCGGACGTAATAAATACTGCGTCTCTCTTTGGCTCCGTTTAAGCCCACATATTAAAAAGGGATCAGGAGATGCCCGAACGCCGGGCCACTCCGTCTTTTATTGCTCTGCGTGTCAGCAGCGCGGCGGGCGGGACGGGACAGAGCGAAGGAGAGGGACGGTTCCGGGGGCTCCGTCGTGCTCGTGGGTCGAAATCCACGCCTTTTGCCTACGGTCACGGCGCGGTGTGTTGCGGGTCCCGTAATCGATATTTACAACGGCGCGGCCAGCGAGGTCTCGCACCGGAGATCGCCCGCCCATACTCCTCTCCATTGTAGAATGGACCGCGTGAGCAGAATGGAACCAAGCCACATCAGCTATTCTGCCATGCTAACCAAGAATGCCGTTAAAACCGAATTACTGAGAAAATCGTGATTATTTGTTTCCAAGATTTTCACACAATTTTATACGTAATTTAATCTAAAATATCTGAAAGTTTAAGGGAAAAATATGCATAACTTTCCTAAAAAATGAAGGTTTTATTTGAGGGAATTTCGCAACTCTCGAATGTTCATACGGCGTTCTTCCTTAGCACGGCAGTATGGAGAGGAGCTGTAGGAGGAACGACAATGAATACAACCCTCATTGTAGTGGCATGCTGCCCAGTTGCAGAAAAACGCTGTATTAACATTGGAGAGTTGCTAAATGTTCCTTGATGAAACATGTATTTTTGACGCAATTTAAGCATATTTTCCCTTGAAATTCTCAGATATTTTAGATTAAATTGCGCATAAAGTTGTCTGAAAATTTTGGGGGAAAATATTTACAGTTTTCCCTGTAAATTCTGTGTCTATTGCCGAATTAAATTGGGCAATTTAATTCTCTACATAAAAACGGTTGTGGGTATTTTTGAGCAAATTTCAGTGAATTTCCTACAAAGTGCGAAGCAGACTCCTTAAAATTTCCGAAGGCACCTGCACAAACGTTCTCTTGTTAAAAATTTAAATTGCCCCGTTAAATTTGGCAATAGCTGATGTGGCTTCGTTCCTTTTGGCTATATTGAGTAATAATGCTGCTAAATAGAGTATATATATGGAGAGCTTGCGGACAAATCGAAAAATGGAGCTTTTAGGACCCAGATGGGCAGCCAACCTTCTAACACGGTAAACACTACAGACAAATGCCGCTGCCGATGTTATGGGGTGTCAACTATAATTTCATTTTGGATTATTCTGATTTTTCTCGATATTTTGAATGAAATTTCCTGACTTTGTACGAGTAACTTAACGCTCGTTTGATTTTATTTACACCGACATGTTTGAGGAATTGAATCTAATCTTTCACTTTGGCGTAAGCTGAACTTCATGTAGTATGCGGTCCAAAAATGCTAGCCGCAACTCGGAATTTCCTGACCTACAACCGATTTTCCTGATGATTTTTCTTCGAAAACACGCGAAAAATTGCGATTCCATATAATTTTCAGCGTTGAAACTCATCCATGACCTCAAAAATATAAAAATTTTGGGAGGATTCCAGGGGATCTTGGAGGGTAAAAAAACTTGATTATCCCCTTATTAGACCTTCTGAAACCCACCTTTAACTTGAAAGTTCCATATTAAGGAGGCTATGAATGTATTTATAGCGCTAAAAGCTGTACGGAGTGAAAAGACAGACAACAGGGTTAGCATGTTTCATGCGTTTTGGTCCATGACCGTCGCAATATTTTAGAAAAATCGATGGTGTTCCAAAAACTTATACAGGGTCCATGAATCCAACTTAGGTCGCTTTGAGAAAAAGATAATACGGAATAAAAACGTCTCATTTAGACCTACAACGCACACTCCTGTAATATGACGGTTTGACCCTGTAACACCGTGCATACAAACACAACCTCGGACGCTCAATAAATAACGATCAAATTGGAGTGCAATTTGAATTTCCTTGAAAGGTTGCGGGTCTATGATTGCGGGAAAAGTCGGGCTTTAATAAACGTCACTGATGGTTGCTGCAACTCATGCAAGACTTACAACCCTCATTGATCCCGTTGTATGTCTTTTTTTCTTCATTGAAAGCCCTTGCCATTCTGCCGTGCTAAGGGAAAACGCCATATGAACCTTCAGGCGTTGCCACATTTCCTTTGATAGAACTCGAATTTCCTGGTAAACATATGAATATTTTTCTTCCAATTTTTTAAGCAATTTTGTTCGCAATTTCACCTAAAGCTCCTGAAAATTTCAAGGAAAAATATTCATAACTTGCCTCAAAAATAAACATTTATCGAAGGTAATTTGGCAACTCTTGAATGTTCATACGGCGTTTTTCCTTAGCACCGCAGTATTCCAGTTGGCTGCATTCTTCTAGGAACAATATCCGCTCCTCCTGTATGAAACAAGTCTTTTAACGGTTCTGTAAACGAGATTTTTCCACGTGACCAGTTTCTGTATGCATATTGCATACTCTCTTTTCTGCCGTGCTAAAAGGAAGAACGCCGCATGAGCCTTCAGACGTTGCCAAGTTTCCTGGGATAAACACCGAATTTACTGGAAAAAGTGCGAATTTTGTTTTCCAAAATTTTCAGACGATTTTGTACGCAATTTAACCTAAAATATCGGAAAAACATGCATGAATGTTGTCAAAAATACATGTTTTATCAAAGGAAATTTGGCAACTCTCGAATGTTCATACGGCGTTCTTCCTTAGCACGCAGTTTTGGCTCATATCGTTGCCTCTTTAAGGTAAGGGCGTACCTCAATCCCCACATAAACTCTGTTTGACATGTAAATCCATGCTTTCTGGGGCTCAAGGGGAAATCGAGGTACGTCCTTGCGACAAAAGAGCGACAATTTGTGCGGCGTAAAAAGAAAATGAGCTACAATTTACAAGTTAACAGAGAGTAGATGGAATTTATCCTAGCTCCCTGCGCTCTCCCTTGGATCTGCCTATGTATCTGCCAGCGGCGTGGCGTGAATTGCGATATATCGATTGTTATGCCATTTAAACCTATGGAAAAGGGTCGATAAACTGGGTGTTCGCTGCGAACACCTTAATAATCGATTCTTTACCATAGGTTTGAATGGCATAACAATCGATATATCGCAATTCGCGCCACGCCACTGGTATCTGCCAATAGGAATGCTCCGGTTTTTATCGTTTTCTCTGTCTATCAACTTCAAAAATCAGTATCGACCCGGAACAGAATTCAAGGGAAAAGTTCTAATGGAAACTCGGGCGTGAAAATCGTTAGTTTTCACTTGTTGGCCTGACAATGAACCGAGTGCGGATTGGCTGCGACCTGCACGCAGATCCGACTTGCGATTGTTGTTTACTCTGAGCTGCTTTTATTGCTTGCGCCAGGGTT